ACATGACGTGCAACCGTTGCAATAAATATAGAAAGATGATTGTTAATCGTGATGTAATATTCAGCGCATCACATGACCTCCGTAGTAAGTTCGTTCTAATTGGTCAATATTAACGGTCAATTGGTTGGTCCACGGTTTACAATCTCACAATAGTGTGAAATTCAAATTAGCCAATCAGAATTTCACCCCACTCCATAATATTTCAATTTCACATACAACAACATCACAAATATATTAATAAAAAAAATTTAAATTTTGCCTGAACTACAACAATTCAACATTGACATCCTAAAGTCATAAAACTGTAATAAATATTGCAAGCATGCGATCAGAGTTATTGGAATCATCAAATATGAAACTAAATTAAAATCACTACATACAAATATACTGCTTGGTTAGAGTTTCTATTCAAATAAGGGTTTATTTGAATTATTTGTTTTACTTGCTATGAATTTGAGTATTTGAATTACATTGAAGGTTTATTCAAATAAAATAAATAACAAATAATTCGATAATTTGATAATTCAAATAAGACAAATAAACAAATAATTCAAATAAACAAATAAAATAAAATAATTCAATTGATAATTTAAATAAAACAAATAAACGAATAATAATAATTCAAATAGTTTGAATAAAATAAAATGAATAAACAAATAGTGTGTGAATAAACGAATGACAACAATTTGAATAATAAAATGAATAAACGAAATAAAATGAATAATTCAAGCAAAACAAATATTCGAATAAACAAATGATGACAATTTGAATAATAAACGAATGATGATAACAATTTGAATGATAAACGAATGATACAATTTGAATAATAAATGAATGATAACAATTCGAATAACGAATGATTTGGATAGTTTGAACAAAAATTTGTATTACGAATAGAAACTCTACTTTATTGGAGAGTCACCAAATAATGTTCAAACTAAACCAAAATCACCATATACAACACTACTTGAGGCGTCCCTACAAGCAATATAGTAAAACTAATAAAGGGGTTCCTAACTAATAATTAAATGTTGGCCAAACTATTAATCATCAGAAATCAATCAATCATGCCAGATTTATCAATTAATGAAAGTGTTATTTTTATTACCAAAGTGTTATAAGATCAATTATTTAATTTTATTGATTAATTTTTTTCACTAAAGAAGATTTCAAACATATTTATACTTCTTAAAGTATTACAAATAACATGATTTTGTCCAATAAAATAAAATAAAATAGAATGATAAATGATGACTAATTGACAATTACTAAAGTTAAATGTCAAAAATGTGTCATTGATGATGTCATGATTAAATGATACCTGATGAAATGTTTTGTGGCAAGAAATTATTTTGTCATAATTAAAAATAATTAACTTTTTGGTTTGAGAATACTATTATTAAACAGGAAAACTATAGAATTAAAAGAGCACAACAATCATGATTGTTATTTTTGTAGCCCTATTCT